TCTAATGACCTCAAACAACTTTGGATGATAGGTACATATGGAGAATCAAGAATATAATACCGCACATAATTAGCCGTAGCCACGGCCCACATGTAGTCACATTACCCTAAGCCCTAAGCTTTTAAACAAAGGGAACAATTCCAAAATCCTTCATTTATCTTCTAATCGTTAAGGCGTTTGAATGAAGCATGATCACAATTAGGGATGTTAATGGGATGGGACGGAGTGAGGGCAGATGTTCATTGGTCTTCTCATCCCCATCCCCAGGCCACCTTATATTTCCATCCTCATCTCCACATACCAGATTTAAATCTAAAATCATTCCCACCCACCAAGGTATGCATCCACACCCACCTTCCCTGCCCCCACCTCCCGCTTAATCCCCATCTCGTAATTCCTATACGTGTCTATTAAGTTTCTTTGTTATATATAAAACTTAACTGTTAAACAAGTATCAACCAAAATTTTCCTTGAATTGATGTTGGACAAGTTTACTAGAATCCAAAAGATGAAACTCAATTGTTAAAATTTGTTATCTCATTTAAATGGATATAAGGTAATTTTTAGCTTTGGTGTTATATATATGTAGTTAAAGGGCAAGGCAGGTTTGAGGCGGGCATAACTTAAGATCTATTACTATTATACGGTACACCACCCATATTGAGTATGATTTTCATCTCCATTTTCGCTCTAGGGGCATGTCTCCTATCTGACTCGCCCCACTAACATCCCTAATCACAACTCTCTCTTGATGTACCCCCATGTGGTCGTATTTTCCATTGTCATCTATTGAACATACATACCTCGATACTCATTATAGCTGGCAAAGCAATTATGTTTACTTGCATACATCATTATACTCATTAATTGTTTTTTTTTTCCGCTTTAACTAATATTTTCCTTTATCATTCCTAATAAACATAATTCATATACAGATTCAACACACATCAACCTCAATCTTTCCTAAGTATGTATTTATAAAACACATATCCATCCAATATAATTTTAATACGAGTACCATTTTCCCTTATCCATTCCCGTCCAAAATCATTCATATTCTGTCCTTAAAAATAAAAAAAAATTAAAAAAATTCATATTCAACTCAATACACTTACACCTCAACTAAAGAAAATAAAAGGAAGAAGACAAAACCAAAAAATAAAAAACAAAACCAAAACCAGTAAATCTCCATACGTTTCTTTATTTGGGGGAAAATCTACTCACGTTTCATTTCTTTATTTATGCAACATTCAGAAAAAGGAAAACTAAAAATAAAAATAAAAAAATAAAAATTAGGGGAAAAATCGAAATTTAAATACAAAGAAGAAGCCGGAGCCCCTGACCCAGCCAAATTATCGTAAGCGCGACGATTATTTTGCCATCTTTTGCAACGAACTTGTACTTGTCTTTCAGATCTGTCATCAAATTCCCCCGTTTTCTTTAATCTTCTCAATTTTCTCTTCTACCTCCAATTTTATATCGCAGCTACAACCCCACTTCGAATTCTTGGTAAATTTTCACTGACTTTGTTTTTCCCAATTAATTTTCTGTAAATTTGAATTCAATTTCTGTTTAAGTTGATATATGTGTGTTTGCAAATGAATATATGAAGTTTCTGATGTTTTTTGAGAATTTAAATTTGGGTTAATGGTGAATGATGGTTTTTGATTTGGTGAATTGAATTTTGTGGAGGATTATGGTTTAATTTTATATGTTTAAAAGTAGCACTGCTATTAATTATCCAGTATTTCTGTTTTAATTTAAGGAAAATTAGGAAGACGTTATAAACTTTTTGCTATGATGAATTAAGTATGGGTGAATTGCAGAATTTTGATTTTTGTTACTTGTGATTTTAGTTGTCATCAATTTGCCTCTTCTTGCAGCTTAACCTGATAATCGACGAGTTATTCCGGAAATTTTGGTTTTGGGATTGTTTTAAGCATTCTCCTGATTGTGTCTTGTATAGAGACATTTTTCAGGGAATGCTAAATGATGTGGTTGTCTGTTGGGGGACTTTATGTTTTAGCTGATGAGGCTAGGAACTTGTCTGTTCTAGCTTTGTTGGCGGTTGATCAAATTGGATACTCACATCGCTGCTTTGTGAGTCTTGGTGGTGACTTTAAGCTTCAAGGGATTGATTGCAATAGGATGCCGTCTGCATTTAGGCGTGATGTTTATGGGGATGGTTGATTTTTGCTCACTGTTCTAGTTCTCCTGCTTTGTACATAGTATTATACACTATACAGTCAGTATTGGCAGGAGATTCGTATCTTGATATTGCCTCTTAGATTTTTTTCCTTTGTGAGTCATGGAGCCAAGAGCGCCTGTGTTGATGGATAAGTATGAAATGGGGAGACTACTAGGGCAAGGTACCTTTGCTAAGGTTTATTACGGGAGGAGTATCCAAAATGGCCAGAGTGTGGCCATCAAAATGATTGACAAAGAAAAGGTTTTAAGAGTAGGACTCATGGATCAAATTAAAAGAGAAATTTCTGTAATGGGAATGGTTAGGCACCCAAATGTTGTTTATCTATATGAAGTCATGGCGACCAAGACTAAAATCTACTTTGTGATGGAACATGCTAAAGGCGGTGAACTCTTTGACAAGTTGGCCAAAGGGAGGCTAAAGGAGGATGTTGCTCAAATGTATTTCAGACAGTTAATTAGTGCTGTTGATTTTTGCCATAGCCGGGGAGTTTATCATCGCGATCTGAAACCTGAAAACTTGCTGCTAGACGAAAATGAGAATTTGAAGGTTTCAGATTTCGGGTTGAGTGCTCTAGCTGAAACTAAACGACAAGATGGTTTACTCCATACCACTTGTGGGACCCCTGCTTATGTTGCTCCCGAAATCATCAGTAGGAAAGGCTATGATGGGGCCAAAGCTGATATATGGTCTTGTGGGGTGATTTTATATGTTCTCTTGGCTGGTTTTCTTCCATTCCATGATTCGAATTTGATGGAGATGTACAGAAAGATTGGTAAAGCAGAATATAAATGCCCTAGTTGGTTTCCAAAGGATGCACGCCGACTATTGGGAAAGATCTTGGACCCTAACCCTGATACTAGAGTCACAATTGCTAAGATAAAGGAGAGTTCTTGGTATAAAAAGGACTTGTCCCCAAAACCTATCCAATCTGAATCAGATAGCATAAATGTTAATGATGTGGTTAGCAACGGAGATCCAGGCCCTTCCAGAAGTAGCAATGCCAATGAAGAATCCAGGGAGGAGGGGATCAAACCTGCAGAGTTAAATGCATTTGATATCATATCCCTTTCGTGTGGTTTTGATTTGTCTGGCTTATTCGAAGACTGTAGTCATAAGAAGGAAGCAAGATTTACGTCCAGGGAAGCTGCTTCTACCATAATCTCTAAGCTTATGGAAACTGCTAAAAGCTTAAGGTTAAAAGTAAGGAGGATGGACAAAGGATTACTCAACTTCGAGGGCACAAGCGAAGGAAGGAAAGGTGTTCTGTCAATTGATGCAGAAATATTTGAGGTCACCCCTGCACTCTATTTGGTGGAGATGAGAAAAGCCAATGGAGATACTTTCGAGTATCAAAAGGTGATAAAAGAAGATATAAGGCCTTCCCTAAAAGATATTGTTTGGGCCTGGCAAGGGGAACAACAACAGCAGCCACTGCAATTGCAGCAACCATTGCAAAATCAGGAGCAGTCTTAGCAGTAGCAGTGATGGTGGAAACTCTTAAAACTTCTCTTTAGCCGTCTTGGTCCCATACTTTGATCATGTTTTTGATGATGGGAGAGTATGTCAACGTTAACATGTGATTCCTTTCCTTTCCAAGCTTAAATGACTTATATGCCTTTTACTGCATTACTGACTGTTCTTGACTTTGCAACAAGGTCAGAGCTTATTTATGAGGCAAGTATATGGATGTAAGATGTATGTGTATGCTTGATAAATCAAAGTTTGTATTTACTTTTCCAATACAGATTCAGTAAAATTACGTTTACCTTACCATGCCTGATTTGTTGCTCAGTTTAAAAAAAATTCTCTGCTCTTAAAATTCTTCTGTGAACAACATATATCCTCCATTCCTTCTGGTTTCATAATACTACGTACAGCGTGGCTTTACATCATTAATGTTTCTTCACACACCAAGAGCATCTTTAACGATGAACATATTAAAGCAACGAGAATTATACTTATGATGGTAACAAACTAACAACTATTTGAATGGAGCAACATTTTTTTTTTTTTGGGACGAGAACTGTGCAGAGTTGATCCTAAGACCAAAGGTCTTTAGTTCACTGAAAATCTGACATTCTTTTCTAACTCTAATTAACTAGTTGCAACTTGCAAGTTTCCAACTAAGAAAAGTAATAAACAGAACTTTGCGTGAACATAAATATTTAAGTGCAACAAAATTGATTTGAAAGGATGTCAACAATATCATTGGATGTATTCGTTAAAGCAAATGATTACTAGTGCGAAGAGCCAAATTTAAATTTTGGTAGAAGAAGAGTCCTAAATAATTCCTGAATAGCCTACTATTGTTCACCAATGCAAAGTTTTCATCACTTGAAATGAGAAATTTTGATATATAAGTATGCTCAGAGCAAGGGCAATGCTAGGCAAGCCCAAAGTTTCCGTTTCCTTTCTCCTTCCTTCATCTCACTACCATCGGAATGTGAAGAAGATTATATATTGAAAAAGTTTTAGTAACAAATCTTGTGTATCAATACTACGTAAATAAAATGGTTGGACGCCTTGGCTTGAAACCTTTGCGGCTCTAAAAGTTTTGATTGGGTAACAAACTCACATTGCACCGTAAGTCCGTAAGCTTAACTGAGGAGATACGAGTCCTCTTCAGCAAGCACCCAACCTCTTCTACTCAAAAACATTATCATGAGAGATTTTAAAATTTTACAAATTTCATAAGTTGCAATTTCAATCTCAAGCTGATGATAAATTGGCCAATCTTCAAATTTTCTCCTCCATTTTCGCTAATTTCAATTTCAATCAATCCCTTATCTCTCTCTCTCTCTCTCTCTCTCTCTCTCTCTCTCTCTCTCTCTCTCAATTACTGTTGGTTGGTGAATTTGCCAAAATTTTGCAGAAATTTCAAATGTGTCCACTTCGAATTATTTTGATTTTTCTTTCTGCTGCTCTTGCCGGATTTTTCGTCCTCAAGAATCTCAATTCTTCCGATGATGTCGACCTCAATCTTCTTCCTGATTCTCCAAAACCTAAAAATTCTTCTCCGATTTCATACAAGGTATCTTCAATTTCGCATTTCTCTTCTTTTAATTTGATTTCACTGGTTTAGGGTTTGAAATTTGTTGGAATTGATGTAATTTGTTCTAATTTTCGAAATTGATTTCGTTTGAATTGAAGGATAAGGTAATGGCGGGGATTTGTTCGAGTTTCTGGACGGTTGTGGATATGGCGAGCGGTCGGTATCTCTGGAAGTATTTCTCTGCTGCTTCAGCTAAGAGCTCGTCTTAATTCTTTTTCGATACGATATAATACGGTAGTTGTATTTGTTGTTGTGATGATGATGACGATTCTGTTAATTTGAAGAAGATGCATTATTGTTGTAATATTCTATGAATAATATGTACATATACATGTTTGTTAATGATATGGAAATTTTGATTTTTCTCTTGTGCTTAATTTCTTCGCCTGCATCTTCAATCAATATCATGCTATGCTGTTTGTGTGTGTGCCCCTGTCTCTTTGTTTACATAGATTTGGAACCACGGGGGGGTATGGCTAAGGTTTTTTAGTTTGAGGGATTAGCCTGTCGGGTGATCCAGGTACGCTACAAATGTGGTTTAGCGCATATAATATGAGTTTTTTAATTGATCATTTGTTACGGAAATCATATGCGGTGTGTGATTGCTGAGGTCTAATTCCTTTATCATTATTTTGTTATGTGTGTTGCTGCTGAAGAAAGAGTGAAAAAAATCAGGTTAATTGTAGTGGTGAAGTAGTACTAGTTCTTTAGAAGATCATAAAACGGGCATTGTGCTGGGCAGCTGCTATGAAGATTGTATCAGTGAATCTATTTCATAGCCTTAGGACTAGACTAGGCTAAACCTTGTCTTTCTGATTGGCATTGACCTATTTACTTCTTTATTGTGATTCCACGAAATTGAACTATTGGATTGAGCTTTCACTCCTGTCATTCCCTATGGAGAAGTTGCTTGTCCGACTCTATACCATAGTACCATACAATACTGGAGTAATGGAGTCAGCAGATTCGAGCGCATCTAGCTAGAACCCGAGCATACAAACTTGACACTCCTATTTTACTGCCTACCCTCACAAAGCTACTCATGAATCCATATTATTGCTCCTGCTCTGGACTTAGATAGTGATAAAAATGTTGGAGTTTCTGCCACCTTGTTACTGAAGGATGTTTCTGTATCCCAAGATTTGAGCACCATGAGATGTTTTCATCAAACAATGTTAAGTTTATTATCCACTTGGCTGTCAAAATTGATAAGAAAGCTTATTGGACCAATATAGCCCTTGTAACTGTTGTTATGCCCTTGTTCCCTTTTACTTTTTATATAATTAGAATCTGGGTATAGAAAGAACGTTGATCAACTTGTACAGGTAAAAGAAAGAATTGCATTAGAATGGGGCTAAGTACATTGTGCAGGGAGAGTAGCCAGATTACCCACAACTCTTACTCAAGTCTCCATCATGACTATCTATTTCAGGTTCCTTATTAATTGCTCACATTATATTAATGTACCTTGTGTCAAGTGGTCTACTATTTGTGGTGTTACTGTTAGCTTTATGCTTGTGGATAACACTTATAAGGAGCTAGTTATTTACTAATGTAGGTTCCACCAGTGGTGGGGAGTTGGGGGCTTATCTGACCAAGATCAGCTTGCTGTATATGCAGTTGAGCCTTGATTTTCTCTGCATGTGTGGAGTGGTACCTTTCTTCTAAGAAAAGTTGTCTATTTGACAAGCATCAACTCTTTGCTGTTCTGTTGTCAATGATTTATTTGTTTCAGAAGTGCATTTTGTATTATTAATAGAGGCCTGTTATTACTTGAATAGTCCAGCTTTAGTCACTTACCCATGGGTGTTAACTTGCTAAGTAGAAATTCAGTGCTGTAGAGTTGTACAAATCCCATCTAGAGATACACCCCTACCTCCATAAGGAATGTGTTTTCTTCCATTTTGGGGATTCTTTAATAAACAGCTGTTCATGTTCAGGTCATGTTCCATTTTAGGGTAGCTGAGAGTTGTTACAATGACTCTAGGAGGAACTGGTAATCATCATCTTCTACCTCCATTATTTAAAATTTGCAGTCATAGCCTTCTATGAGCTCTATCATTTTAATTGGATTAAAGTTTCTGGATTTTTGTTTATGTCGTCACTAAGTTGTAACTCAGCTAAGCTTGGGCAAGATTGAATTGCATTTTAATTAGGACTTTTTGCTTGTGTGTTACCATTAGAATTTGGACATGTATCCATTTGATTCTAGAACTTTCTCTAATTTTAAAGTTGATATAAGTTGCTTTTGTCCTCTTGATTCCTGACTCCTTGTTGAGTATCTGAAAAGAGATGAAAATCATGCTCTTAGCTCTTTGGGGGCTTCTCTTGCTCCTTCCTTGCGTTTGTAGGTTCAGAATACAATCCTTAACTATCTGATGAAAAATAGGTTAATAATATTTAATAAAATCTCCATTAGTTAGGTTAATTTGACCATCCAAGTAGTTATATCAGTTGGCCGAGAAGTATTTTCTGATATTTTTGATTGGAACCGTTGGTTTGGGTTAGCTGGTGATTAGCAGGAACCAAGAAACTTTATGTGCATGAAAGGGAACTGTAGCCGGACTCTTCTTTTTGATTTTTGAGTTATGACTTGTGAGTACTCCAAATTAGGCTAAAATGTTATTTTCAATGAATTTTGAAATTGGACTGATGGGAGTCTTGTTACTGGTACTCTTTTCAAATTCAATAATAGCTGCCACTGTATACATCACTTTGCTCATTCAATTCCAGGAGGGCTGGAGGTATCATGATCGCCCACTTCCATTCCCTTTGAACACTTCCTTTTGCTGAGATTGTATCTACGCTCGACATCCCTTATCATTGACTTTTCTGTGTAGCTGAATTAACTTTCTTGTGATGTAACCCACCTAGCTAATGGGTAACCTCCTTATTTTCGCTGTCATGTGTTTCTTGTACATGTTAATGTATGACGTTGCCTATTCCAAAGGCAAAGATGTGCAATTTGTTTTTGGACGGGAGAATATGCAATTTGTGTTTTTGGACGGGAGAATATGTCGTTTGAAGTGTTACTGGAAAATGTATACTTGAGAATCCTTTTGCAGAATGAGTGCTTATAAGCTTTGTTACATGTATTCGGTGCTTGAAATGGACATTGAAGATAATCGAAGAGCAGAGAAAAATACAATTAATTGATGAACATTAGCAAAAGCAATGCGCATGGACATTGAAGATTGCTTCGAATCCATTGTTAGAAACTCAGAATGAATGTCTCTCTCCGGATCTCCATAATTTGAATGTTAGAAGAAATTCATAGCAGTAATTATATACTTGTGTAATTTCACAAGATTTTACAAATTGCAAATGAATACAAAGTATTTCAGAATTGCACATCTCAATCTCCTCCTCTCTTATCTACTTCTACTACAGTATTTATTACTTATACATTTGAAGTGATAACTAATAAAATACGGAGTACTCTATCAAATTTCAAACTTCGTATAATAGAGTGAAGTTTCATATTAGTTGGGGAAAAAAATTTGTTTATATATTTAATTGGTTATGAGTCCAAAATTACAGTGTATATCAGAACAATATACAACTCCTATCTCATGTATCCAAATTCACCCTAAACCTTCAAAATAAGTGTGCTTAACATTTCCAATTTTTATTATTGAAATATAAATTGACAAATTTATGCGTTAGTGGTAGTATAGGTTTAGTGGGTTCAACCTAAAAAAATAATTTAGATAATCAACAAACTACTTAAAATAATAAAAATGGTTATAATAAGTGCAACATGCCTTAAATGATAAGTGAAACTGGTTTACATAAAGATTAAACGGAGAAACATGCTCGACAAATATGCTTAGGTTATTTTCTCACTTCACTCTTTTACTCTACAGATTGAAGATTTCTAAGTACTCCGTAATTCCTAATACTACGTATATTGAATCGAAATAGTATGAACATTTGATTGTTTGATTAATTTTTTTGAAAGGAATTGTTTGATTAATTAACAAAGAACCAATGAAGTGCTAGTATAGTAGTATATATATTTCGTAGAATGTCAAAAAGACTTGACTCGTGTAACTCAATTGGCTCTCCCCCGTCGTGGGCAATGTGTATGTGTCGCGAGCCCATGACCCTTGAAATAGCAAAATACATTATCTTTTTATTTATAGTAATTATTTTTAAAAAACCAGTATTTTTCTGGGAAAAAAATAGTCCCAACGGTCAAAAATAAAACTCCAAAGTTAAAAAAAATAAAAAAATAAATTGCACATCTGAGAGAAAGAGAAAGAGAAAGAGATCAGAGATGAGCCGGAGAAGAACAGGGAAAAAAGTAGCACAGGAGCAGGCAATTAAATGGCGCCGTGCGCAGAAGAAATTCCAGCCACCAACATTGAAGAAGGAGAAGTGTGAAGATGCTAAAAATCGAACTTCTAAGTTTTTTGGATGCTATCTCTTAACTTCTCTTAGCCCTCGTTTCAAGGGTCATTCTTATATTGGGTATTCTTTTTCTTTCTATTTGTAACTTTTGATCTTCGATTTCAATAATTTCGTAAATTTATTCGATTGAATTTTTTTTTTGAATTTTGTTTTAATTAATAGGTTTACAGTGAACCCGAAACGACGAATTAGGCAACATAATGGGGAAATTACTAGCGGAGCTTTCAGAACGAAGAAAAAAACGACCTTGGGAAATGGTTCTTTGTATTCATGGTTTTCCCACTAATGTTGCTGCTCTTCAGGTTTTCCCCTTTTTATATTAATAAGCTTTATTTTTTATCATCAATGTTGAAGTTACAATCTTTGTTATGTGTAAATCATTGTTATAACATAAATTGGATTTCTTGATTTGAATTGGCGGATATGATTTTTGTGATTGATTGCAAGAATGCTTTTTGATTATGATCTTTCATTGAATTGGGGGTATAAGTATAATTGATGATGATCTTTAATCGAATTGGGAAATTTGATTTGTGTGGTCAATTGCAAGATTACATTTTGATGATTTGAATTGGGATACAATTAGTCTGATTTATTGCAAGATTGCAATTTGATTATGATTTTATACAATTATGATGGTTTTTGCTTTTAATTTGTTCTGCTATGTTTGGACTTTGGAAATTGCCTTATCATATTTGCATATTTAGCACCTTTTCTTACGTAATTCATTTCCAAGATTTTATGAATAAGTTTTGCTACTATAATTTCTACTAAAATTTGGAAATACACAGTTGTAAGATTGACTGTTAAATGGTTTTGCAGTTTGAATGGGCATGGCAGCATCCTAGAGAGTCAGTAGCGGTACGAGAAGCGGCAGCGGGATTTAAAACCCTCGGAGGACTTGCCAACAAAATCAAACTTGCACTCACTATGCTTACTCTCCACTCCTGGCAAAGGTATATTATATATATATTTCGCTTCTTTGTTTTACGGATTTTGTGCAGTGATATATATCTGTATTCTTTTTTGATTTAGTATCATTGTGCTGTCCTCTAATTGCTGTATGTTCAGTCTGAACCTCACAGTTAGTTTCTTCTCTACAAAGTACATGAAGCATGCTGCTGGGTGTCCAAGCTTGCCTCACCAAATGAAACTTCATTTTTGTTCCATAGATGAGCTTCCTTGCTATGGGGACAGTGACCAAACGCACGGTTGTGATGATGATGATGACAACTTTGACTCAAATGATGGTGAAGTTTCGGCCAGCTGTTCTGATGACAGAATAGAATCTTCAGCTGATGTTTCAATGGAGATGATACCTTCTTCAATTCATGTTCAAAGCTGTACCTCACAAAATTCAAGTGATTCTATCTTAGCTGGAGATTTCATAGGCATTGTTGGTTCATTGGAGAGTGATTCATCATCAATGATGAGTGCACCGGAGGAACAACCATTGCATCAATTACCTGTTGATGTTAGTGGCTTTACTCTGAACACTTCAAACGAGCACTTACGACCTTGTGAAGAGACATGGATTGAGGATGAAAGAACTTCTTTCCCTGATTTAGCAGAGCACATACAACCATTTTGTGGTATATATGCTTCTGACAATGAGTTGTTTCCCATTCTAGAGGAAAAGCAGTCTTCTTGTGACTTGCCTGCTGATGCTCCTTTCCCCACTGGGAACGATTTTGACGAGTGCTCAAGATATGGAAATGAGTTTTGGCCCAAGGAGTTGAGAGGCTCTTCACCTGAAATAGAGGAGCATATACAGCCATTTGAACAAGCCGGTCCTTCAGAGACATATCCCTCTTCAATGGTTGATTTTGTTGCAGTTATGGAAGATGTTACAAAGAAAGACAAAATAACATGTATAGTAATTGATGATATCACTGAGCAACAATGCCAACCAATAAGGGTTCAGTCTCCTATCAGAAATGCTAATACTGTTCGGCCATTTTCTAATGAGGGGATTGAGGTTATAGAACTCTGTACGCCTTCACCTGATATAATCACTAGAGGCAGCAAGAAGAGAAGAGCAGTCAATGAATTTCCTTCATTCATTGATTTAACTGGATCACCTTCTTTCATCCAACTGTAAATATTGGAATGCTGTCAGTGGATACCTTTTAATTTACTAGTGGGAATTCCTCATTTTCAAAGTCGTCATTGCTTGTTCTACATCATCATTCAGCCTTAGTGAATCTATAAGAGTTGAAAGTCCTGTCCTCAGGTAATCGAAGACTTCCTTGATCTTCCTTTACAAGTTTTTGTTTTTCTTGTTATCCTAGCTTGTAATGGTGTTGGATTAATTATTGTATTAAAGAATAATTGTGTTAATTAATGCAAAATAATCAATAATGAGATTTTATTATTATTATTATTATTATTATTATTATTATTATTATTATTATTATTATTATAAACAGACAAAGTCATACAACCTACAATAAATTAGTGGGAAGCCGAGATACGATCTGGGCCCCCACTCCTCTAGCTATTGCAAAGTCAACCCTAGTGAAGATATGAGTTGTAGCACGAGCCCCAATGTCTTGCGTCGCCGAGAACCTCTGAACCCGCTTCAACAACGCAACAACCTCCTTCTCTAATTCCCCAAGCGAAGAAAAGGAGAAGGGAATGAAACCATATCCAATCAGCCGACATCTAGGTTCATATTTCACCCTCTTTCAATGAGCCACATCAGCTACAACCCGTCCAGGAACAAAGTCAGGTAGCCCTGTCAGTGTCAAAGGAGAAGACCCTGTTAAGTCCACACATACATCACGACCACGATCCCAGGAATAAAGTAGCACATCAGCAGGTCTCAAGGCCCCATCATTTCCTCCACACAACCCTATGTCAACCTCCTTCCTTGCCAAAATCCCAGATTTGTAGCAAATATCAACAAGGATATCCCGGACAACATTATGCCGATGTTTAATACCCACAATACTAGCACACGATACCGCGTGATCACCGAAAATATCCCCAGTAAAAACCCGAGAACAAGCAGAGCACGGCGCCGAGATAGAGAACAATGGAACACCAATCCGGTAGCACAACACACATCGGTAGGTCTTTGCGTTCATCGTCTGACCCAACCCGGAAATAGGGATCGCCCGAAGCCAAGAGGAGGAGTAATCTCCCTGCTGCGATTTCCACAAAGCCGATTGCCGAGGAGACAAAGAAAAGGTGGATTCTGCAGAAGCGGAAACCTTTGTGAAGTATATATCTGCCAATTTCTTCATGAGTTTAGGGGCAGCGACCTCACTAGGATTACACATAATGTCAGACTCGACCGTTCTATTGAACAAGCTCAACGCATCCTCAAAGGCTCGACCAAGGCCAACAACGCCAGCATGCCGTAGAAGCCTTGTCTGCAACCCAGCAGACTGCAACCGGGAAGCAAGAAAAGCATAATGACGAACATCACCTGCAGAATAAACACCCAGCCCGCCATACGCAAAAGGCAAGGTGGCAAGCCGCCACTGCCAATCGCCAAACCCAGGCCCTGAAGCAGTAACAATACGCTCCAAGGAAGATCTAAGAGCCCCATCGAATGTACGCTGAGCAGTCTCAAAAGTACTAGGAGGACAAGTACGCAATGCAAAGTAGAGCTTAGAAACTCCGGTACAAGCCCTAAGCAACAACAGCTCGCACTGAGGATCATCAAACTTAGCAACCCTATCCATAAGCGCAATGGTCTTGGTCACCCTCTGCATCACAAGCTCACCTCCAAAACCAGAATCGGAACTAGCGGGACCACCAAGCAACTTGAAATATTAGGTGGAAAGACACCCACAAGCCTGCTTTGAGGGTCTTCTGAAGGCCAAAATACTTCAGTTTTCTCCACGTTAAGATGTAACCCAAAACGAGACCCTTCCTCCATAATCAACTGCAGAACCTTCCCCACAACCAATTTGTCACCAATAACGGTACCATCATCCAAATACCAAGCCTGAAGACATACATGAAAAGTGTCTCTTATTATTATTATTATTATTATTATTATTATTATTATTATTATTATTATTATTATTATTATTATTATTATTATTATTCTTATTCTTATTCTTATTCTTATTCTTATTCTTATTCTTATTCTTATTATTATTATTATTATTATTATTATTATTATTATTATTATTATTATTATTATTATTATATCAGCCTTATTTTTTATAAAAATGGAAACTTTTTGTTTTTGTATATCATTGTGTTTGTACTCTTACAAAAACTAATTACAACCATTTAGGTAATTCCACAAAATTAACTTGAAATGTCTGTCAAAAACTATTTCCAACAATCTAGATCAATAATGTACGGAATTGTGTTGTGCTTGTCAATGTGGTGATTTTAGAAGCTTAAGGGTATGGTGCCTGTGGTAAAGATGTACGAAGTAAAGCTTAGGGAGGCTGAGGTACAGATTTAAGAAGCTTAGGAGGGGCCTATGGAGAGGGAAGCTGTTGATCTGTTATACGAGTAACTATAAAAATCCTGGGGCTGTCTGTGGTTGGCTTTATTGTATAGGGTCCTCAGGTAGAATATCATTTATCTTTGCCTGTGTGTGATGTTGGTTATTGTTGAAAGGATTGCACTCTTGATGATTTCTCTGGAGTGACATTATCCCGCCTCCTTAGGAACGATTTGGGAAACCATAACAAGAGAGATATGGAAGCATATACAAGGGGTACCGCAGTCTGAAATATTAGCAGATGAGAATTGTAATCCTTTAAACATGCAGTAGGAGTCTGAAGGACCACAAACTGGAGTAGTTTCCAATGCAGAGGATTTACATTCCATATCAGTTTGTAAACTTATTTCTGTTTTGCTGTTTTGGTGATCATACATCTTTTTTACGTAAGTGAGTTTGCAGCAGCACCGTGATGTGAATCCTGAATTCACCCCCAGAAAAATAACTAAGATTAAATAGATATTTCAAAGGCAAGACAGAAAATTTACTTGTACCATTCCTAAGTATATCAGGCCCGAGCAGTCGATTAAGCTGGTCTAATTTAAATACACCACAACACCAGCATGATACTTTTAACTTAACTGACTGAAGTCCCAATACAGCAGACTTTAAACCCTTTAGCTTCATTCTTGTTAAAATTCCTGTCTCAACACAGCAGAGTTCATCAGTTCAACCCTTAGTTTGCTTGAAAACACCATTATTAAACATCATTTGGTATACTACATGATGCTGTGTTAGATGTTACCATATTGCATGATTTTGTTGCCTGTCATTTGCAGGCTATTGAAGTACCCAACTTAAGCATGTTCTAACTTTCCGTTTTATCAATCATCATCATTATTTTATACAAGTAATGATTAGCTTTAAAGTGATGGAGCTGATTGATTGTATGGCCTGAACAGTTGGAAAGATTTGACATTTATCCTTGTAAATAATCAAATCTAGATTGGCGTCACGAAATTCAAACAAAATATCTTCTCTTGAGTTAGACGACCTAACACCCACACTATCATGAACAGCTGACCCTCTTATATTCTTCCAAGTGCTTACCATGATATGTACAGCTGCGGCCCACCCACCACTCATTTCTGATTCCTGCAACTGAAAAACAGCTTTACAATCGACTAATTTGTCCGTTTACAAGGACAAAAAAAAGTAAATTCGTATAATTTTAACCAAGAATCTTAAATGCACCATATTGTTGCGTCTTTAACAAATGTGCACGGATTTATAAATTCAATTTCGATGTGTGTATGACTTATTATGCCCTTTGATAAGTCAGGTTGATTACAGCAATCTCATAGTACTTGCACCATTAAGTTAGAGAGAACAGAAATATGAACACATATGACTTGCCCAACTGACACTTCATTAAAATTTCATAAACTATACAATGGATTAGTAGTATGTTCTATACAATTTACAAATGAACTGAATCCCCCCCCCCCCTTTTTTTTTTTTTTTTTTTGTCAATGAAAAACAGTACCTCAACATGCTTACTCATCCGGGCAATCAGGAAAAACCCAGGGTATGGCTACCTCCTCTCTGAATACATGGATTATTATTACAGTATTTAGTAGATTACACTACTAATGAAATTTGTTTTAGACATAAACAATCGAATCACATGATGATTATGCTAAAACTCACAAACTATGGTACAAACAGAGAAAATTCACCAACAAAAGAACCTCACACAATCCATCTATATGATAGATCTTCAGACACTACACAAAATGCACAAACAATAACTTCCATTCTCGGATTCAATAGCATACCGGCTTTCCTTTAGAAGCTCTAAGCCCACCCCAGCTTGCAGCTGCCGCGTTTACTAAACCTGATTGATGTTAATTTCCAATAAAACACGCAAAATGATGAGAATTCTTATATCATGTATCAACATTTCTTCGGATGATGATCATGATGTAATGGATTAGTAGCAATATAGCGTTACTATTAGAATATCAAATCACTCAGTAGAAGCAACAGCAGGAGTAACTTCGACTTCATCATTCGTTATATCAGTTTCCTCATCAGGTTGTGAGTTAGGGTCATATATTAACCCAGAAAGTTTAGGCATCAACTTTTTCTTCCAAATTTTTTTATAGGATGCAGATTCTCCCCCTTTTATCTTCACTTCAACAACTACCAGCTCTTCAGTTAGCTGGTTAATCTCCACCCTAGCTATAAAATCGCCTTTCGGACCTTCCAAATCCACCACACAATCCTTCCTCCTGCGGCACTTCACGTTCAGCTCACCGGCGGCTTCTTCAATGCTAGCAATGATCTTATCCACTGACATAGCCGATAAGAACTTCTCACCATCCACGAACGGGTTGTAAGACTCGTTGAACAACCCCGACAAATCGAGCCCTGATGAAAATGCAATCAAATCAAATGCATTCAATGGAATACTACTACTACTACTAGTACTCGCACTCACACTAGTACTAGTGCTACTACTCGTACTCGCACCCGCCTCCACCACCTGCTGATGATGCTGCTGTTGTTGTTCAGAAAACAACTTCAAGCTGTCATCCAAATCATCACTATAACAATCATGGTAAAACTGAAACTCAAACTCCGGACCTTTATCTTTAAACAACCCACCTTTCTTAAACCAAGGATCATGTATTATCTCATCAATAGTAATCCTAGTCTTCGGGTTCGTTTCAAGGAGACGACCCAACAAACGCTTAAGATCATTCGACATCCATTTCGGACACCGAAATTCTCCTTTATAAATCTTCTTATACATAGCCATTAAATTAGGATCATTGAACGGCAAATACCCAGCTGTAAGAACATACAATATTATCCCACACGACCATACATCAACCGTCGCACCATTATACCCTTTCTTCGACAAAATCTCCGGTGCTACATAAGCGGGTGTACCACACAACGTATGCAACAACCCATCCTCGGGTCGGATCTGATCCTTAACCGCACTTAACCCGAAATCCGTAACTTTAAGACTCCCATTTTCATCCAATAATAAATTCTCAGGTTTAAGATCTCGATGGTAAATCCCTCTAAAATGACAGTATCCAACAGCTGAGATTAGCTGTTGGAAATACTTTCTGCTGAGGTCTTCGCTAAATCGGCCTTTGGCAACTTTAGCGAAGAGCTCCCCACCTTTAGCGAACTCTATCACAAAATAAATCTTCGTCTTGCACGCTAGAACCTCGTACAAACGTACGATGTTCGGGTGTCGAAGACGAGCCATGATCGTTATTTCCCTTTTGATGTTTGACATTAGATTCGTCCCTGCAATCTTCTTCTTGTTAATGACTTTGATCGCCACACTTTGGCCGGTTTGAATGTTCCTTGCGTAGTATACTTTGGCGAAGGCGCCGCATCCTAGCAGCCTCCCCACCTCGTATTTTCCAAATAGCGCGCCTTTTTCCATTGATGAATTTTTTTTCACTGATTATAGATTGTATTGTAACTCGATCATAATAATAATAATATTATGTTCGAGTTCAATCTCTGGTTTTTTTTTTCGAAATTAAAAAAAAAAAAAAAAAGAGAGAAAATGATGATGTTTTAAAAGAGAGAGAAAAAGAAGAAGGTTTCGAAATTTCAAATGGTTCTTTTGAGCTGGCAGGTTGATATTTAGTTGGAGTTTGAGATTATAAGGCTGTCTTATAATTTACGTGTCTTATTATTTCCTTGTATATATTTGCAACAATGGTGGAAATTAATAACAGCCTTTTTAATGCTGGCCTAGAAACTTCTAATTCATTTTTATAGAAACAAAAATATTTAATTTATTGTAATTATTTACGTCAATAATTAAAGTATATTATTATTATAGCTTAAAGAGTCAAGATGTTAGGTTAATCTGAACCGTTGAAGTGGACAAGGGGCTAGTTGATTTGTATTTCTGACCATTGATTCCAAGGTTTGGTACAAGTTATTGGGACCAAGTAGACGGTGATTTTTATTTTTAAAATATGAAAATGAATAGCTGTAGAACCATTAAGGGTCCTCCACGTGTTCATCTAGCTCATATGTAAGTGGGGACAGATCATCAGGCAACACGGTTTAGTTTTTCTTTCAGTTTGATTTGTATGGCTTCATTAATGTTTTAAGGACACATTCCATAAGGACGGCGTGTCAAAGAGATTTTATAAGGCATTGTGCTGATCGCGTCTATTCTCTTCGTCTTTTAAAGATTGTCTATACCTTTCTAAGTTGCTTAAAAGAATTGTCCCATTTTTATTCTATATTACGTTAATAGTATGATTCTTAATTACTTTGTACAACTCTTGTTTATTTCTTCGTCGATCTCTTAATATTGAAACATTATCATTTTAAAAAATTTATCTCTCCTCATCTTACATTCTGTGTCTTTGCCATTTATCAATATTAGGAGAATATAAAAAAATAGTATGACAATAAAGTGAAAATTAAAAATGAAATAACATTAAGAGATAAGGAAGTACATACATATATTCAAATTAAACTTGTTGTAGATAAAAACCTAAATTGATATTTTAATTTAAACCATAATTGACTGATTATGTGATTTCTTTTAGTAAAATAAGGTTTATGAAAATGAAAGTGGTGCATGTATCACCGTAGGACTTGTTTTAAACTTTGTTTTTGATGATGTATATGATAATTACCTAAGGTACACTTTATGTGATTGTGGTTTTCAGCATGACTTGTAAAGGATAGATTTTGTGTATAATATTATGAAAGTGCTAATTAAAAAGCATAGTAATACTACTAGGGAGTATTACATAAACTTATACATATAATGTTTATATCTTAGGACTAATCTAGTCGAAACATTAATATTAGAAACAATTGTTAATTATGGAAGTAGCTTGTTAGTTTTAGGGCATGTGTGAATTAAAAGTAATGAGTACTAGAGTAATAAAAGTCAAATTACAGAAATAAAAAAAAAAAATAGAAAGAAGGATAAGATACGGTCATATAAATGGTGCAATTGTAAGGAGATTACGTTAAAAGTTTTTCCGGAATTTTCTTCAAACACTTGTATGATTGCCTATCATTTAGCCTACATGCAAGTGGGAATTACATGACATGCTTTATTATGAATGCAAAAGATTAAAAGAAGACCAACGAACGCCACAAAAGGCACAAATGCAAGATGGGGTACTACCGTAGTATGAGGTTGACGGCTAGTTAAGACCCAAGCCATTGAGAAGTAGTGTGCACTACAAAAATGTGTACATTTAGATTTCTGAAAGTAGCCATCAATCTTGCCTGGCTTTACTTTTGTTATCACTTGGTATGCTGAAAATCTAGTTGATTTCCAACGAGTTTAAAATGTATGATAGAGTCCCATCCTACCTAACCTATTAGGTTTATGACATACGTTGTGTTCTATATATTAAATTCAGATTGGATTTTTTCCTTTATTCGAAATGGATCAAGTTAATACTAAATTAAGAGTAATTAGTTATCAATTTGTATTCTTTGATTTGAATTTACTCTAGTTAAATTCTTCTATACATAAAGGCTACTAGCCTAGTGTAATAGAGACAATACACAATCCACCCTCTCCGACCTATGTCATAAAATATCACATCTATTTTAGATCGCTCTAGTATACTAACTCATTTTCAGGACAAAATTTATTAAAATGAATCAAATTAATGCAATAAGTGTGAATTTTTTATTTTTTTTTCCATATTTAACTAATCTATATTAATATTGCAATTCAAATACTTTAAAGGTCCATATCTTCCTTCTTTATTTGTACAGAGTTTTACATATATCAAATAATTATAATCAAAATTTAATTATACGAAGTACAAAGTATTTATTAAGTGTCCATGTACACTTGTTACACTTTTTCTTCTAGCGACTCAATTGTGGGAGTATTATCATTATATTGGCACAATGTTTATACCTATTTTTTAAGGCCAGGGCAGGTGGTTTTAGCCTTTTAGGTTATGACGTATGGATTGTAAGGATCTAATATGGTCGGCACCGGTAACCTTACCCATGGTGGTCAAACTTTAATACAAGTATTTGTTAGTTGACCAGTTGCTTAACTTATATATTAAAATTAGTCGGCTGTGTATGCCAGCTTTCTATATATACCGGACAATGTTGACAGACCATCAGTCATCTATATAAGAAATAACGAAAATGGTATGCACTATTCTTAAGACTTAAGTAGTGGAAACACAAAGCATCAGACCAACTAAATATATAAATATTGATTGACATTTAAATTAATCAATAATATATACTACTTACGAAGTACAAGTATGATTCTGATATCCAGTCCTTAGGTCCAAAAATAATGTCAAGTACTGTTACCAAGATCCTAAATTACAACTAAAGCCTCATTCAGTTCAATATTATTGTCTATATAAACGCCTTTGTAAGGCCATTAGAGGTCGAATCTAGTGACACTAATAAACTTCGAGATGAACTTGAGGCATCCAGAACATTGCATAATATAAGCTGTTACACCACTAAAATGCAGGGTCTTCTTGATTTTCAAAGTATATACAAGCTTGTATAAGGTGCTAGAAATATTATACCAAGTATTTAGTATTTACAATCAATAGAACTATTTGCTACTTTATTTACAATAATAACTAATAATGGCGAGTATGGCGAACTTATTAGGTAATCAATCACCATGTATAACCAATAATAAAGTAGACGGGATTTCGACGGTGTCACATGTTCTTCAATATCATTACACTAGTATGGTACCCTAATTCTATGTAATCAGTGAGAACGAGGCCAAAAGGAAGCATGCGGTGATGCAAATAAGAGAAGCCAATATGTGGATATTAGTATGAAGATTGAGTATTTAGCTTTTTTGTTTAAGGGGTGTACAACCTGTTACCACATTTACACTTCCATGCTTCAGGGTAATATTCGGCAGTAACGGGTGTCCCTGGAGGCACCGGAACGTGAACTGGTCTACATGGTCTGCACTTGCCGCACTTAGATGCGCAGCGTGGTGGGGATGAACCTATCCCTCTTAGAATTCTCCTTGCTACATTGCTTTCATCTTTGCTGCTTGTTGCACCATTTATAATCTTCTGCAATTTTCATATTGTTTTAGATATTGTTATAACTTTGTTAGTCTTTAAGTCATGAATAACGCCTTAGCCTAAAAGTAGAAATATTAAACATTTAATAACACTAAAACACGAGCAAAATAGGCTACATGCCTACATGTACAAGTGTACAATATGACATACGTGTCATAATGAGACGGCATTGCAACCAACAATATAGGCCAAGAAATGGGAGAGACTATGCAGGGGATGCAATACACATGTGCACCGACGATTGAAGCGCGGCGAGAGGAAATTACGAGACTAGTCTTAAACAAAAGACAAGAGAGACTAATAGTGATAAGCAACATTTTATAGTTTTGTCAGATAAAATTCTGGTTGGAAATTGATAGTTTCCAAACACAAGTACTGGATATGGCCAAGACAAGTTCACGGGGGTGCATGTTTAGCTTAGCCTCTGCTTGACTACAATCACAACATGTAAATTAAAGCTCCGCTGTATACGCTGCCATACCCTTTATAAATAGAAATAAAATTAACATTAACTGTATTATATGTTTATTCTATAACCCTATAAAGCATCTTCAATAATGTACTCCATCACTATATTGCTAAGTTGAAGGTGCCCGTCATCATCAATGTTACCCCCAATCCCTCTATAGTGTTACCTTTTCGAACTTGGTGGTGTTTACATGTACGTTATTTACGTCTTAACCTTCACATGTACTCCGCACAAAAAAATGGTGATATGCCAAAGGAATCGTTTCATTCATAATTTTGTTTGTTAGGTGAGAAATCGACTTAAAAAATCTGTTTATTGTTTGATTTTATTCCCTTTTCACCTGCCATTGAAGATTTAAGTTTATTTCAATGCTTCTGTCTATAAGATTAATATAAGGAAACTTCAAAAAGTAATTTACTACATATAGAAAGAAGCTTATAATTTAAGGACAACCTAAATAGAAATGTGATCTATCATTTAGGACAAAATCTAACACGGAGTGCAAGGGAAGCTTGAAAATTGCAACTGTGAAAAAAAAAAAAAAAAAACCCACAGAATTACCGTAACAGGACTAAAATAAATGCATCTGTTAACCTAATTCTCTCACCCTAAAAAATCATAAGTGGGGTGAGTGCTGAGTAGTGAGTAGTACAATAATAGATGATGGGTATTATAATTGAAACCTGAAATGGGGGTGACAGAGAGAATCTCGTCAGGATAATGTCACTAGTCAGAATCACCACCATATCCTTTCACTTAATTATAATTACTAAAAGATTAATTAGGAGCTAACTTAATTATTTCAAATTAATTAGGTGTAACATATATATGATTATAGTTCTCTAACATGCAAAAAAAAAAAAAAAAAAAAAAAAGTGTAAGCTTTAGGAGGTAATTTATGTTTACCTGAACTTGCTGCAACTCATGATTTCTACAGTTGAGCATGTACAGCTTCATATCTCTAGCTGATTAACAAGCACATCAAATAAGTAAGTCAATTCATTAATCATCATAGATATTAATAGAAAGAATTATTCTAGCAAAAGATTATTAAATTAGCTGATCATAAGATGATGAAGAATTTGGGAAACAATTAAAAAAAAAGTTTATGCTTAAGCATAATCAATTATATTACATGGAAATTAGTGAATTAGGTTACCTAAGTAGTAACTTACAAGAAGAGGGGGAGGTGAAGAGTGCGAAGATGGAGACGGCAAATAGTAAGAGAACTGAAAGACGAGGATCTCTCATCATACTCTTAAGCCAATAGCGTAGTACACTCAATAAACATACACATGAAATATATATATATATATATATATATATATATATATATATATATATATATATATATATATATATATGTATACACTCAGAATAGTTGAGGTAGATGGAGGCAATAAATGAATGATAGTATGAAGAAAGCAAAGAAATAGAGAGAAATAGTGGAGTTGGAGGCAATGATGAAATGGGAAAACAGCAGCAAATGAATAAAAAAAAGGATGGTTATTGAATTGAAATAGTGCTACAAATAGAGTGTGAGAGTAGGAATGGGAGTGTTGGAGGTAGACATGTCAAATAGAGTAGGATGTTGTGAGAAGAGGTAGTCGGATCCTCTGAATTACCAACTTTGGTGCTCTATTATCTATGACTTCCTATACACCCTCTTGTCTTACTACATTGCCAAGCTAACCCACTTTGCTTTCTCACTCGCTCCCTTCCACTCCTTTTCTTCTTTCTTTTCCCTTTACTTTGGTTTTACAAAATTATTAGTTTGTTGTTTGGTCTTAGGGAATTGCAATGGTATGTAATTTGATTGGAAAGAGTTTGTTTATGTGTCGGGTACAAGTACGAATATGTATGTTGTTCCGTGTTAATAAATGGATGAAGCCATGAGCCTTCATTTTATAATTAGAAGGCTCATTAATCGATCTTATTTATTACAGACTTAGAATCTTGTGACCTTTGTTAGTTGGTTTTTCGTTTTTCCTCCCAATCAAAGCTTATGAGTGGTATTCACGTATTACAAGATATAAGATCGAAGAAGGCAACGTAATCACCCGACCTCTTACTGTCTTTGTACTAGTTTCAGAGGACAACTAAGATCTTTTTGTCCTCTTTGAATTAGATAAAAAAAAAAAAGGTGGTTTATTTTACCTCTTTAAATGAATTAAGTAAAAAAATTAATTTTTCGCCCTCTAATGCCATTATCTTTTGTATCTTCACCTCTTCTTGGTTGACATTATTTTGTATGTGTTGGAGAATATTGTGTGATGCCTAGTTTATTAGTGATATGATCTTAATTAGTTAAAGCATTGGTTCACACTAGAGTTATAACATATTAATAAGAGTACATTATTAATGATATATATTAAATTAATGATTGATTATACTTCGTATAATTTATCTTTTCAAATTTCAATTATAGAAGATTTAAATTACTTTAACTTTGTAATAACGTTGATGTAATGTGCCATCCATCTTATTCTTCTACGTATTTGTACGCTTTGTTTGCTGTCCACAATAGGCAAAGTTCAATTTATGGACTTTGAAATTTCAACTTAAATTTGAGTAGTTTGGTCCATTATGTGTCCTACTGTTACCCTTTAAAAAATCTCGAACATTAGGGTATATGACGTACGTGGCTGACAAAATATTGGGTATACATGGGTGATGTTTAGAAAAAAAAACTCGGATTTATAAGTGTTATGTCATTCTCTTAATTACAGCACAAGGTAACACAATCGTCAAATTCATTAGAGACTTACTTGAACATATCACATATATATACCGATACATGCATTAGCATCCGACAATTAGTGTGTGATACACTAAATTGTACGAAGTAAACTTTATCAGCCCAATAAGTATAAATACATAAGTTCGTTATATGCAATTCATGTAATTTGCTGTTGGATGACTTGAGCGGTTTTGACTTTTGGAATATGATTTGGTTTGTACTTCCTATTGTGTAATAAAGTAGCGGTTAGATATGTACTTCTTCTATTTCTTTATTTTTGCCCCATTGTTATTTTTTGGGATAAATTTTGAAATCTTTGACCATAAATTACCGTTAATCTATAAAAGATAATATAGTCATGAGTGGTCTTGTTAGATTCGTCTCATTATATATTTTATTAATATCACGGTTTTATAATTTTTACGTTTATGGAAATAAAAATATAGAGGTTTTAAGACGCGTATTGGGGACTGTGCACAGTTAAATGGGACAAAAAAATAGGGATAGAGAGAGTAGTTGACAATTGATAAAGTAAATTTTTTTAAAAAAAAAGTAAGAACAAGGAATTTTTTAAAAATGATGTCTTCAAATCACCACCCATGAAGTCTCCCATGCTAAACATTATCATTTTCCATCTAGAGTATTGCTCAAAGGATCTTCCCCCACCCACAAAAGTAATTTATAAATGGTCCTAAAGGGGGACAAAAAGAACGTTGAAAATCTATTGTGTACTATGATGTAAGATTGCACAAATATACTAATTTAATCAAATTAACGAGTGTGAATCTAAACTAAACTAGTATAATTAAAAACAATATGGTGGTTCCATTGGGTGAAAGTGAGAGGCCGGCAGGGCTATATATGCTAACAATGACTATGGTCAAGTGTAACTTTGTAAAATTGGGCCCTAAAATGAAAATACTACTTTTTTTTTTGACGGGAAAAAATAAAAATACTACTAAATTAAACTAATTTTATCAAAAGTTAATAGTGTTGTTTAAATGTCATCTGTACACCTTAAATGATTCAATGAATTTATTTTCTTAAGAGTAAGATGAATATATGTAATTAGATCTCCAAAGAATTTAAGTAAACGTATAGTAAGCAATAGTTAGGTTGGTGGGTAGCAAGGAAGCAAAAAAGGTCCCATGAAGAAGATCTAAGATGGTAAGACCAGTCACACATTTGTATTTAAGGGCAAAGTGCAATTAATAAACAACCTGATCTTAGTTTGGATTCATTCGTTTGCCTTTTGTGGCTATAGGCATCATCAAAGGCGTTTCTTTTCCAACTCGTAAGCGTGTGACTTTCCGATGGAGACGTCGATTTCGACGTATCATCACCCCCTCCTTTGTCACCGTCGTCGTCCTTCCTCTTATACCAAGAGCCCCTACACAGATCATACTTGTCCCCGTGCACAATTCATTCAACATCAATGCATGTTAATCTAATAGCTAATCATATGACTAGTCCCGTAATTTTCTTCACACATGAGTGGATATGGACGTTAAATTTTATTAATGCAAGTTGAATTAGAAAAACAATTATAATTAAAGGGATGTAATTAAGTGTTAAATAAAATGATTTGATGGATAGAAAAGGTTAAAGACACTATTGTTTAAGATAAGTGTGAAGAACATTTGGTGACCTTTTCCTAAGCATTTGAAGAAATATGTATTAAAAATACAAAAAGAATTTGAAGAAATAGAGAAGGTATGACATACAAAGTTTTTACTTGTATTATTTATTCGTAACACTAGTTTTTGTACTTCTCACTATATATGTAGATAATCTTGAAATAGAGAGGATTTTTGTAGTGATCTAGTAAGAACTCTTCAAAAGAGATGACTTGTATATATTATTCTTAAATGTATTCTAATCAAAGGATTATGTAATTTAAAAAGTCTGTCTTTTTTTTTCCTATTTAATAAGTGCTTTTCTACTCTAAACTTTATATACAAGTAGTTTGATATATAATTCGAATATTAACATTTGTACATTTTCATTAATTAAATTTAATATGAACCAATTTTTATTGAATTTCTAAGTATTAGCAACCGTACATTTTCCACCAACTAAAATAATTCATGGTATATTGGTATATATACCGAACACAAAACCTTGTACGCAAAAGAAAGAAAGAATGCAAAGAAAACCTAAAAACCAAATTTGGAGGCTGAAAAAAGAAGGGGCGTTGATTTACGACAACGCAACACAATGTATTAACAAGTTGTGAAATCAATATTAATCTTCTGAATTTATATTTATAGAAGTAGTTACATTATTTGATTTTCATGATTGTATATAATACACCGGTTACTGGTGGCCGATGATGAGGCTTTCTTCCGCGAAAGCCTAAACAATATTATGGACAAAGAAAAATATAGGGGTTGTCTGGTCATGGTCTAGGCTGATCTAAATGATACGCCAATAGAAGAAAGTATAGATGGGAAATTGATAGTTAGGCCCACAATATAAAGAGTGGCCCACCCATTACTCCCAAAAATGGACCATGGGTTTGGTTGTTCTTACTAACACGGGCTTACATTACAAATGCATGTGCAAATCAGCCTTACTACTCTGTTCTTGACTTCACTACCCTACAAAAACTGTCAAATCCTTGCATAATTTTACTCTTCTAATTTACTACGGAGTAGCGCAATTTATAAAGCTGACAATTATATTGTCAATTTCCTTTTGTTTTCCATGTGATGGTAGAAATGGGCAAATAGCATCCGTTTTTATTTTAGCTAATCTTGATTTAATCCTCTTAATTTTCTCTACCTTTTTATCAAAACTGAAATGGGAAATTTCAGAAAACCTAGGCTTACCTTTTCATTGAATGCGAGATAATAATCCGTCGTAATTACATTCTCAATAGCAAACTCTGGTAAAACAATAAATTGTACTCCAATTAAGGTGTGCCATGAAGTGACTGTTTTCTCTCAAAAATATACTTGAAATCAATAAAAGTAAGAAATAAAAAAAATGAGGATATATCTTTTTAAACATAGAAATCGCAATTAGGGTGTTATTTACTCTCTATAAGTAATCCTACTTTCGCATAATAATTTGGAAACATTATTATCATAATAATGTTGGAAACGTCGTAGTCCCTAATAGGGCTATAGGCATTAGGCAACCATAATTTCTCATAATATTGTCAAAATGCGGGCTTGTTTTCCCCAAATCACTAAAATAATTCAATACTTTGTCCAGCTCAGCTAGGGGTGTTCGCGGTGCGATTTGGATTCTAAACCGCACCAAATCGCAAAATTACGGTTTGTATTTTTCTCAAACTGCATTAATAAAACCAAACCAAACCGCACCGCACCGCAAAATGTGGTTTGGTGCAGTGCGGTTTGCGGTTTAACCGTATATTTTAAAAATTATAATTATTTTTTGTATAACAAACCTTTTATTTTATCTTGAGATTTTTATAAAAGTTAGATATTAATAATGTACTCATCAGAGATAGTCCCTCGCGTAGGGTTTCTGTTTTCTCCCTCGTCTAGGGTTTCGGTTTCTTGATTTTCCCCCGTTTTTCCACAAATTTATGTGCTGCTT